CTAATCATAACCCATTTTACAAATGAATAAATATAGGCACAGGGAAGACAGGGATTCCATGCTTTAAAAAACATAAAAGTAATGCTCAAAGAAATCAAAGAAGCTGAATTTATATCTCCTATCATCCACATTTAATGCTCTAGAGCCCATGGTAATTTTCTTCTAGCCCATATCTCAGAAGTGCCTCATTTTAGCAAGCTCTTAAAGGATTTGAGAAGCCAGCTCAATATTTGGGGTTGGAAGGAGTTTAGCGATTTGTGAAAACTGCTCTTTGTTAACTGGACAATAAGACTAGGCTCTCTTTCTTTCCTTCCTTCAAAGGACCTGCAATGAATATAAACGAAAAGTTAGAAATTGAGTTATATTCAGTACTACATTGACAACCTTGAGGTGTCGTAAAAGAGCATTCTGGCTCTCTGTATGGTGTATCACCAACATGGCTTCATTCAGCTCAACAGCTCAGCTTCACCTCAGAAACTAGGCCATCTGCCCTTTCTCCTCTGCTTGCCTTACAAAGTTACATAATCATCAACTTGACATTTTAATTAAGCAGATAGCACCCGTTGCAGCATACAACTTATGAGGCTTATAAACTCGTGATTGCAAAGGACATTGCAATCTTCTGATGAGAGGTGTTCATGGATCGATAAGTTATATTATTGTTGTTTTTCATCCAACAGGCTTAGCTCACCTGATTCCTTCTGGTTAGCCATTATACGCTTTTGCAAACCAAGAGTAGATGGCCAATTCAGATAATGCTTATGATTTTAAAGACACTATAAATCACCACTGACAAATGCTGTAGAATTTTAGCCATGGTACCTTCTCTGTGGCAGCTTTGTACTGGAGCATTAATAAAATTAACTTCTCTTTCATAAGAGTTTAGATTTGTAATTTATGATTACTCTTTGTTCACCACAGGCAGAAAGATTAAAAAACCGAGTAAACGAATATACCAACTAAACTGCATGTATCTGGTTTTATTTTCTTGTTGGGGAGCAGAGGTGGGAGAGGGTTTTAAAAGCAGCTTGATGTTACCTGGAATGGTGTTCGTGTAGGTTCTACTACTGAAGGCTTAACTTTTGTTTTCAGTAAATTTTAAGTGCTCAGATTTACATGTTCTATTAACTAGTATAATTATTTATATGTGGTTAAGTGGAGCAATCAAAATAAGAAAAATCAATATTAGTGATTTCCGTTAATAATAACTGCATCCTAATCATGATAGACCTTTACAGTTATTTAAAGAACCACAGTAGCTTATGTGCATCTATCCTAGTGGTTAAGAACACGTGGCCATTACTAGGGCAACACAGGCAAGTCACCCAGTGTTTTAGTTTCTTAGTGCTGCTGTCCCAGAAATGCCATAAGTGAGTGGTTTAAAGAAGAGAAATTTATTTTCTCAAAGTTTTGGAAGCTAGAAGTTCAAATTCAGAGTGTGGCACCAGCTCTAGGGGAATGTTCTTTTCTGTGTGCTCTGGGGGAAAATCTTTGTTTCAGCTTCTGTTTTTGGCATTCCTCTGTTCCTTTGAATCTCCACATGACATCTATCTTTCCCCCATTTGTGCTTGCTTCTCTCCTTGTCTAATCTATTCTTTTTATATCTCAAAAGTCCACAGGTTTAAGACACACCCTACACTGATATGCCCTTCATTAACATAGCATAGAATCCCTATTCCTAAATGGGATTACATTCACAGGTATAGGAGTTAGGATTCCAATATATATTTTTGGGTGACACAACTCTTAACATCCAACTTCTCTGAGCCTCCATTTCCTCATCTGTAAAATCAAAAGATAATACCCACCTCATGAGGAGATTGTGACGATTAAACGACTAAAGCCATGTAAAGCCCTTAGTGCCTAGCATAGAACAAGCGTTCAATAAACGTTAGCTATACAATCATTACTATATTAATAATAATAATAACTGTCTTCATAGCCATCGTTTTACAAAACAATAAGCAGCCTCAAGCAGAGTCCGTATACCCTTCAGAACATTAAAGATAAGAAAGTAACAATCAGAGACGTTAAGTGCCTTGTCCAAGGCCACAGTAGTAGCATTCTTCAGATTCCTAGCTACTTGCAGGTCCTGCAATTCTGACTTCAGTTATGTGCACATGAAGGAAGGTATAGATGATGCAGGAGTTTGGACTAGTTGTATAATCTGGAATATACCCTATTTCTCTTTTCTCTTTTAAACTAAATGATCAGAAATGATCTTGTTGTATTGTAAAGCAGACTGCAGAAAAATTCCTTATGAATTTGTGATACAAGTAACAGAATGAAGATTTTGAGAATTCCCCAAAGTTTTTGTACAGGATCCTATGACATTGCTCCTTATCAGCACACTATGGTGTGGTGCTTGGGGGTTAAAAAAACAATGGGAGGGAAGGGGTTTGGACTTTTCAGCCCATAGAGACATTTCACACTCAAAGACAACCAGATTAGTCATCTGCTGGTTAGAATCTTTTCAGATGACCTGTCTGTAGCTGCAACTCTTGAGCATTCTTAAATTCATTCTGAAAAAAAAAAGAATGTATGTGAGAGAGTGTGTGAGTGTGTGTGTGTGTGTGTGTGTGTGTGTGTGTGTGAGATGGTGGGGATGTTGTTGCCTATCTACTTGGGTTACCAACGTTTTAATTGCCTTCTATTATTAATAAATACCTAGTAGTGATCAGGATAATGGCATAGAGAGTTCTTCTAGCTTAAACCTGAAAAAAATCGATGTAAACTAAGATGATGAGATAATTTTCACTTCCTTTTAAAACTTAATTTCACCTTGCTGCTGCTGTGCTTACCCTTATAGCATGACCCAAGAAAGTGCAGTAAAAATCCAGTTAACTGGATCTTTCTTATCAGATCTTTAATTATGTGAACTTTTTTCCTGTGCCCAAAATGAGACCACTTCTCACAGTGCAGATTAAAAAATAAGAGAGAGTGAAATTTCCAGGTTATTCTACCAACGCCACCGCCCACTGTGTGTGGGGCACTAGAGTTTAGAACCACAAGACACCAGCCACTGAAGAAAGATTCAGCTGTGTTCGTTTTCCTGTTTTCATTTTGGCAGAAAATGGCAAGCCTATTTTAATAATCAAAGGCAAATGGACCAAAAAAAAAAAAAAAAGTCAGTTAAACCAAACTGTACACCTCCTGATAGATTATTCCATTTCCCATTATTTTTCTTCCTAATTGTTGACCAAATCTCCAGCTATCGATAGCAGGATTTATCTGCTTCAGAAATAATAAAATTTAGACAATTTGGCATTGTTGTTTTAATGTTTGTTAATTTCTTTTTATGTCAAGATACTTTTTGGTAATTTTAAGAAACAATATCTAAACTATTGAAGAATTGCTCAAGTGGGAAATATATGAGAGGCATGTATTTTCTGACTTTTTCACGTAACTAAGACCAAATTCTTTATTTTTTATTTAATGACAGTTGGAGGAATAATTGTTGATAACAGGGCATAGTTTTATTTCTTTTAATGGCATTGTAATGGTATTTTTAGAATATGATGTAATGGTTGTCCTTTTTTACTGTACCAACTCAGTTTATAAATGAAAAACGAAAGACATTTTTATACTGTACTTTATGAAGACAACTTCAATATACCAGAAATGTGTAGTTTCTTGTATGCTAAATTGCTATAGAGGCATAATAACGATACCATAAAATATAGAATGCTTTCTCTTAAGATTCTTGAAGCCTGAAAAATAATCTGTTAAGAGGAAAGAGAAGCCAGAAACAAAAAGAAGCATGATTTCAACTTTTACTTTACATGAAAAAGTATATGTAGATATTATTTTTAAATTACTGGACTAAAATTATACAGCACCAATTCCAGAAGAGAAATATAGAACCATTGGTGATGACAAAAGGGAAAAGTATAAGAAGAACAATGAGTAATAAGTGAGAGAATTAGTAGAAAAGAGTAGAGAAGACAATTCCCATCTCAGTGCTATGAAGATAGGTATACAGAGAGAATTAGAGTATTATTAAATGAACTGGCTGAGTAGCATTTCAAAGTGAGTAAAACTGGTGAAAGAACCTGACTTTTTTATTTACTTGCCACCAGTTGGAGGAAATATAAGCGGTTTGGGAAAAATCTGGGGGAAAACTTAAAGCCCAGTTTTATGGGGAGATCAATCAAGTGTTGAAAAAAACCAAACCCACTGCCGTTGAGTTGATTCCAACTCATAGCGAGCCTGTAGAACAGAGTAGAATTGTCCCATAGGGTTTTCACGGCTGTAAATCTTTACAGGAGCTGATGGCTACATCTTTCTCCGGGGGGCAGTTGATGGGTTCCAGCCACAACCTTTTGGTTAGCGGCCCAGTGCTTAACCACTGTGCCACGAGGGCTCCTCCTACTGAGCCACCAGGGCTCTTTTAATCAAGGGTTTAGGGATGCTTATTATACGTGCCAAATCAGTAGCTATAGCTCTAATACGTGGACTGAACTCTTCTTTAGTATCTTATAGGTGTGTGTGGATGTATTTGTATGTACTATGACATTATTTTTTCCAAGGCAAGCAGTCTAAATAGACACCCTTACATTTGGGGAGAATTTTTAGTGAGTGACTATTAACCATAAACACATTTAGAATTATGACAAGATGTAGAAGTCCTTCTAAGGTCTAAGAAACTCCTAGGGTATCATGTATCTCTCTTAAAAATGGGAGAACTGTTGCTTATAATTTCTTGTTGTTTTAAACAAGGGTGTTTACATTTGAGGAATCCCTGGGTGGTGCAAATTGTTAATGCACTCAGCTGCTAACTGAAAGACTGGAGTCTCTAATCAACCCAGCGAAACCTCAGAAGAACGGCCTGGTGATCTACTTCTGAAAAACCAGCCAATGAATATCCTAGAGAGCACAGTTCTGCTCTGACACTCATGGGGTCGCCATCAGTCAGAGTCCACTGAAGGGTAACTGGTGATGGTGGTGGTGGTAGATTTACATTTGAAGACTTTAAAAGATAAGCATTTTCTTTCACTCAGCTCCTCAGGCCAAAACACAAGCAGTCAAGAGGTTTGTCTGTCTACTTCATCACACTCCTCTGATTCAAGTGATACTCACACTCGACTGGTTCTGTCAAGGAACAGAAGGGCATTTCATTCACGCTCGGATTCTGGAATATCATCCCTGGTAAATATTTTAAGTTAACATTTTACCTAACGATAAACTTATAAAACATGCTTTATCTTATATCTAACAATTTTGAATAAGTATATAAACTTCTTAAATAAATATGTCTTGTAAGGGTGTGGGCAAAATGAAAGGTTGATACACTCAGACCCAACCCAGAGAGGAAACAGGAAGAAGCCGGGGGTGGAGGAAGGAAGACAAACAGAGGAGGAGAAGGTGAGCAGCAAAGAAAATGACCACAAAAACCAGAATGTTCCCTTTCCTTTCCCCTACTGAGGTCAAAATTTGTCACTAGTCTAAGACTAAAGATTTACTCTCCTTTCTTTCTGGAATGTTCTTTGTCCACAAAACAAATTTTTCTTCTCTCAAATTCACCATTTCTAAGGCATTTTCTCTAACCCACCTAATTGGAATCAAGCTTGTTTTTCCTCCTTCATTTCATTCATAATTGGTCCACTTAGCCCACTGGATTAGGATGAGTTATTGATATGTCTGCCTTCCAAATTATAGAATATGAGTTTTTTGACCACAGCTAACCTATTTTCCACCACGTCAGTCAGTTTGTCATATTGTGGTGGCTTGCATGTTGCTGTAATACTGGAAGCTTTGCCACTGGTATTTCAAATACCAGCAGGGCCACCCATGGTGAACAGGTTTCAACAGAGCTTCTAGACTAAGACAGACTAGGAAGAAGGATCTGGCGGTCTAGTTCTGAAAAAATTGGCCAGTTAAAACCTTACGAATATCAGCAAAACATTGTCTGATATGGTGCCAAAAAACGAGCCCCTCAGGTTGGAAGACACTCAAAATACAACTAGGAAAGAGCTGCCTCCTCAAAGTAGAGTCAACCTTAATGACACAGCTGGAGTCAAGCCCTCGGGACCTTCATTTTCTGATGTGGCATGACTCAAAATGAGAAGAAAAAGCTGCAAACGTTCATTAATAATTGGAACATGGAATGTGAAGTATGAATCTAGGAAAAATAAAGTCATCAAAAATGAAATGGACCACACAAAGATTGATATCCTAGGCATTAGTGAGCTGAAATGGACTGGCATTTTGAATTAGACAATCATATGGTCTACTATACAAGGAATGACAAATTGAAGAGAAATGGTGTTGCACTCATTGTCCAAAAGAACATTTCAAGATCTATCCTGAAGTCCAATGCTGTCAGTGATAGGATAATATTCATATGCCTACAAGGAAGACCATTTAATATGACTATTATTTAAATTTAGGCACCAACCACTAAGGACAAAGATGAAGAAATTAAAGATTTTTACCAACTTCTGCACTCTGAAGTTGATCGAACATGTTATCAAGATGCATTGATAATTACTGGTGATTAGAAAGTGAAAGTTGCAAACAAAGAAGGATTGGTAGTTGGAAAATATGGCCTTGGTGATAGAAATGATGCTGGAGATCACATGATAGAATTTTGCAAAAGTAATGACTTCTTCATTGCAAATACCATTTTTCAACAACATAAATGGTGACTATACACATGGACCTCACCAGATGGAATACACAGGAATCAAATTGACTACATCTGTGGAAAGAGATGATGGAGAAGCTTAATATCATCAGTCAGAACAAGGTCAGGGGCTGACTTTGGAACAGACCATCAGTTGCTTATATACAAATTCAAGTTGAAGCTGAAGAAAATTAGAGCAAGTCCACGAGAGCTGAAATAGGACCTTGAGTATACCCCACCTAAATTTAGTGACCATCTCAGAAATAGATTTGACACATTGAACACTAACGACAGAAAACCAGACCAGTTGTGGTATGATAACAAGGACATCATACATGAAGAAAGCAAGAGGTCATTGGAAAGACAGGAAAGAAAGACAAGACCAAAATGGATGTTTGAAGAGACTCTTAAACTTGCTGTTGAATGTTGAGCAACTAAAGTGAACAGAAAAAATGATAAAGTAAGAGCTGAACAGAAGACTTTAAGGGGCAGCTCGAGAAGACAAAGTAAAGTATTATAATGAAATGTGCAAAGACCTGGAGTTAGAAAACCAAAAGGGCAGAACACATTCGGCATCTCTCAAGCTTAAAGAACTGAAGAAAAAATTCAAGCTTCGAGTTACAATATTGAAGAGTTTGGGCAAAATATTGAACGACACAGGAAGCATCAAAAGCAGATGGAGGGAATACACAGTCACTGTACCAAAAAAAACTGGTTGATGTTCAGCCATTTCAAGAGGTAGCATATGATCAAGAACCAATGGTACTGAAGGAAGAAGTCCAAGCTGCTCTGAAGGCACTGGCGAAAAATGAGGCTTCAGGAACTGACAGAATACCAATTGAGATGTTTCAACAAATGGATGCAGCACTGAAGGTGTTCACTCCTATATACCAAGAAATTTGGAGGACAGCTACCTGGCCAACAGACTGGAAGAGATTCATATTTGTGCCCATTCCAAAGAAAGGTGATGCAACAGATTGTGGAAATTATCAAACAATATCTCTAATATCACAGGCAAGTAAAATTTTGATGAAGATCATTCAAAAACTATTGCAGTAGTAAACAGGGAACTGTCAGAAATTCAAGCTGGATTCAAAAGAGGATATGGAATGAGGGATTATCATTGCTAATGTCAGATGGATCCTGGCTGAAAGTAGAGAATAGCAGAAAGATGTTTACTTGTGTTTTATAGACTATGCAAAGACATTCAACTGCGTGGATCATAACAAATTATGGATAACATTGTGAAGAATGGGAATTCCAGACACTTAATTGTGCCCATGAGGAACCTGTACATGGATCAAGAGGTAATCATTCAAACAGAACAAGAGGATACTGCATGGTTTAAAATCAGGAAAGGTATGTGTCAGGGTTGTATCCTGTCACCATACTTATTCAATCTGTATGCTAAGCAAATAATCCAAAAAGCTGGACTGTACAAAGAAGAACATGGCATCTGGATTGGTGGAAGACTCATTAACAATCTGACACAAACTTGCTTGCTGAAAACGAAGAGAACTCGAAGCACTTACTGATGAAGATTAAGACTACAGCCTTCAGTATGGATGACACCGCAATACAAAGAAAACAAAAATCTTCACAACTGGACCTATAAGCAACATCGTGATAAAAGGAGAAAAGATTGAAGTTGTCAAGGATTTCATTTTACTTGGATCCATAATCAACACCCATAGAAGCAGCAGTCAAGAAATCAAACGAAATATTACATTGGGCAAATCTGTTGCAAAGACCTCTTTAAAGTGTGAAAAAGCAAAGATGTCACTTTGAGGACTAAGGTGTGGCTGATCCAAGCCATAGTGCTTTCAATCACTGCAAATGCATGTGAAAGCTGGACAATGAATAAAGAAGACCGAAGAAGAATTGATGTCCTTGAATTATGGTGTAGGCAAAGAATATTGAATATATCACAGACTGCCAAAAGAACAAACAAATTTGTCTTGGAAGAAGTACAGCCAGAATGCTTCTTAGAAGCAAGGATGGCAGGACTTCGTCTCATGCACTTTGGGCATGTTATCAGGAGGGAGTAGTTCCTGGAGAAGGACATCATGCTTGGTAAAGAAGAGGGTCACTGAAAAAGAGGAAGACCCTCCAGGAGATGGATTGACACAGTGGCTGCAACAATGCGCTCAAACATAACAAGAATTGAGAGGATGGCACAGGACTGGGCAGTGTTTCTTTTTATTGTCCATAGGGTTGCTATGAGTCAGATGGCACCTAACAACAACAATGTTCTAGAAATGTTCTAAAACAGAATGAGATATTGAACAAGTATTATAGCATTATTTACCAGAGGTGGTGTAACGTTGATTCATGAATATTTATTCATGCTATTATTCACTATCAAACAGGTATCAGTTTGTCATGTTAGGGATTCAAAGTTGAATAAGAGTACATAAACTAGATTGGACTAAGATGACTCGTATGAGGGTAGTGGTGGTTCTGTAGTAGAATTCTCTCCTTCCATGCAAAAGGCCTAAGTTCAATTCCCAGCAAATGCACCCCATGTGTAGCCACCACCCATCTGTCATGCAGGCTTGCATGTTGCTCTGATGGTGAACAGGTTTCAACAGAGCTTCCAGACTAATAGGAAGAAAGGACTGGTGATCAACTTCCAAAAGTCAGCAAATGAGAACCCTATACATTACAATGGTTCAATCTACAACCAGTCATGGGGATGGTGTAGGACTGGGCAACATTAGTTTACTTAGTTCTGTTCTGCACGGGATCACTATAAGTCAGGGCCAACTCCATGGCTGCTAATAAAATCAACAAGATGACTGCTATGATCTCACCATTAGGCATTAGGAGTTTATTGTGGCTGAATGTTTAGCTTGTATTTGCATGGCTTTTACACATAAAAGTAATTACATATCACCAGATGATATTTCCTTTCTCTCTTATTTTAAAGCTTCCATCAAACTCTTGTAAGTACCTCACTTGGCACAAGGTAGAACAACATGAATTTCAAGGAAGTCAACTGCATTGCCCAAGGGTAAGAGAAGGTAAAAGAACAAGTGCGTGTATTCTTTGTGTTCATGCTGTAATTAAATTTTTTTGTGTATTTAAAGACATCACCTGGAAATAGAAAACAGTTTCTTTTTCAAGACCATAGAATTATTGGTATAGTGAAGCTGACTTAAAAAACATATTTTTATATCTGATTATATAAATAATAAATTTTGAACATTAAATATTGGAAAAATAGGAAGATAAGGTAGAACCTATAACCCAACTATCCAGAAATATATAACCACTATGATTTTTATTTCCATCCAGGTTTTTTTTTTTTTTTTTTTGGTATACCCCATTGTCGTCAAGTCTCATAGCAACCTTATAGGACAGAGAAGAACTGCCCCATAGGGTTTTCAAGGAGCAGGTGGTGGATACGAACTGCCAGCCTTTGGTTAACAGCCAAGCTCTTAACCGCTGCATCACCAGGACTCCCTTTTTTTGTATAACACATTTATATTTCTTTACAAATTTGTATGAACAATTTTGTTTCTTGGGTTTTTTGTTTATCACTATGAGGATTTCTTTCATGTCACTGAACATTATCCAAAATATGTTTTTTTAAAAATTACATACGTTTCCATCAAATATGACTATTATTAAATTTATTTCACCAATGCCCACTGCATATTTACTGCATCAGATTCTTTGGGAGTAGGGCCTGGGAATCTGTATTTTTCACACACTCCTCAGATGATTCGAAATAGCACCATTACTTCAATGGATGACTTTAAGCTGATTTAATTCTATATTGGAGCCCTAGTGTCTCAAAGGTTAAGCACTCAGCTGCTAACCGAAAGGTTGATGATTCAAACCCATACAGCAGCTCTGCGGGAGAAAGATCTACTTCCATAGAGATTACTGCCTAAAATATTCTATGGGAAAGTTCTACTCTGTAAATACGGTCGCTATGAGTCGATATTAACTCGATAGCAACTAACAACAACAACAATAATTCTATATTGGTTTAAAAAAGCATCAGAAGAACATCTAAAGACATTAGGTAGTCTCATTTGATATTGCCATTATGCATTTTAAATTTGGTAGAAAAACCAGTGTTTCTCTGTTCCTCTTATTATCTTTTTAATGTATAACCTATATCTGTAAAAATTATCACAAGAAATTCTGCTGCAGATGATCTGAGGGCTATCCTATAAGAAACACTGGTTTAGGAGATTTGAGGAGAGGGAGGGAAGGAGTAAATTTGAATACAAATTAAAAAAAAAAGTGATAGTTGGGATGCTGGGGTGGGGGAAAAATTGTAACTGTCATGATCCCTTAGGGACAACACAAAATTATTTTCTGAGCACAAGTGGAGGGTGGAGGTTTAGAGAGAACCACAGAAATGCATAAATTGGAGGGGATGATGAGAGAAAAAAATGTGGGTATAAACTGAAGATGAGCATGTGTAAAGGGGTCTAAAGGCTGCCCTCCCTCCCTGATTTAAGTGGCCAGGTCACATGCTAAGGTTGTCACTCAGCAAAACCAGCCCCTCACAATGACCCCAGTGGCCGTTCATGCAGAGGACAGCGTTGCTCTGCAGAGAGAGAGGTACGCTTTTCCTCCCTAGATCAGTAACAACACCCAATCTCTCCCAAGTGACTGGTCATAAAGGAACAGACCATGGTGTAGGGAAAACACTGGAAAATCCCATCATTTCAAACCATGAGGAAAATAGATGTCCCTTGCTCATTGTCCTTAATTTTCTTTAAGTTTACTTTGTGAGATGAAGAGCAAGTGTTTTTCAAAAGCCTTCTGATAAGAACTACCCTCCTTCTAGATTAGATTCTGAAACATCCATCACAACTACTTCGGTAGCTCTCCATTGCCCCAGTTGTACATCCAGGAAGAGTTCCTGACACAAGAAAGGTTATCTTGTCTGTGATAAACGGCGATTTCCCAAGGATTTGATTGTCAGATCAAGTCTGACTTAACTTCTCCCAATTAAATGAAGCAAAAGAGCAAACTGTTGGCAGGATTTTTATAAAGAATAAATTCTCTCAGTTTGAAAATCCACTAGCAAGTAATTCAGTGACTGCTGTTAAGAGTTACAAATCCAGGGAGGGGACAAAGAACAAGCTCAGAGGTAGCAGGTGAAAGCCAACATATCTCAGCCGTCAGATACCCCAGACTGTAGAGCTCAGCCGCTGAGATATATCTTCAATTACCAACCAAGCCTGAGTAGAAAAGAGAATCCAATTTAATACAACTCCTTACAGTGGAAGTGACCTTTGGCCTCCAACTTCAAAGAAATCTTTCAAAGCTGCTTTAAAAAGAAATAATTAAAAGAGCAGAGGTCCACAGAGCGCAAGCAGACAATGCAGGACACTCTGGAGTTTCTATTGCACAGAAAAAGCTACCAAATTATTTTTGAATTTAAAGACAATGCTATCCAAAGGTGTCCCCAGTCAATTAGATGATTGCTCAAGTTTTTCCAGTCCTATGATTTTTAACTCATCTCATCCTAAAGAGTTGAGAAGATAATTTCCTAACAAGAGGATATGTTATTTGTAAATGTCCTGGGCTACTACTGCTTTTAGGATCATACGCTTCCTGAGCAACAACAGTATAGCTTTTTATGAGAGAAACGCCCAAAAGGGCCGACTGCAACTTGGGCTCAGCCTGCACCAGGTAAAACCACTATATTTGTGTCAAAATAGTGAAATAGTGAACTCTTTCTCTTACTGCCATCCATAAATCCTTCACAGACTCATTACCTCCCACCATACCCATTGCCATCTAGCCGACTCTGACTCTAGTGACCTCGTAGAACAGAGTAAAACAGCCCATAGGGTTTTCAGGGCTTAATCTTTACAGAAGCAGACTGCCACATCTTTTTCATAGCCCAGGCAAACCTGTCACAAAAGCAAAGTTTGTTCTTGATGCTGTCAATATCCTTTTTCTGTATTCTTTTCACTTTTGAAATGAGGGGAGTCATGCATTCCAGAAAAACAGAATGATGGGAATATGTACAAATGGAATCAAATATGACTCATAGATATATGAAATGTTAGAGTTGGGAGGGAATTGAAAGTCATTTGGTTTAGGATTGCTTTCAGGGAACTGGTTGCTATCATAATGGAGTGAAGTTTGCTGGGGTCTGGTTGATAGCATCATGGAGAGATGTAATACAGTAGAGAGTGTATGAGTCTAAGGCAACAAGGAAGCACAGACTGGTCTAAAAGTACTGAAAATAAAAGTGTGTATGAAGCACTATGCACTCCAAACAAACATGTTTTCTTATCATACTCAGCCTATGCTGTGCCCTTGATTCTAGCCTTCCCCATACTTTTGCAGGTATAGAGAACTGAAGCTCAGGAAATTAAAATTACTTATCTGGAGTCACAAAATTCCCTAGCACCCAAGTACAGACTGGAAGCAGCACCTCCCATCCCTAACTCTGGAAGTTTTGGGCAAACTTTATTTGAAGGACAGTGAGACTGGAAAACAGTAGGAAACAAGTTTGAAAGAGAGATTGGGATAAGATTGTGGAAAGCCTTACTTGATAAGTTAAGAGTTTCCATTTTTACTTGGTAGCCAATAAGAAGGTTTTAAAATATTTTGAGTCCTGTGATAAAAGCTGTGTTTTAAGAAGGTTGGTTGGCAATTTATGTCATTTATATTGGAGAGGAGACAATGCAGTCAAGAAGATCCAAGAGAAAGTGGTTACAGTTCAGGTAGAAAGACATGAGGATTTGGATGTGGAAAAGGAAAGGATAGATTCACAAGGGGAAAACAGATAGGACTGCGTGAGTAATTGTATTGAGAGACAAACAGAGGGAAAGTCAGGAGTGACTACAGACCCTCCAAGAGGAAATTACATGAAGATTAAAGTCACTATACTGGTGAATTTTCTCATTTGTTGGGCTAGAAATAATTTATGTAGGGTTTAAAGGTTAACTTTACATGTCGACTGGAGTCCTTAGGTGGTGCAAATGGTTAATGTGCTCAGATGCTAACCTAAAGGCTGGAGGTTCAAGTCTACCCAGAGGTACCTTGAAAGAAAAGCCTGGTGATGTACCTCTGAAAAATCAGCCATTGAAAACCCTGTGGAGCACAGTTCTCTGACACACATGGGGTCACCATGTGAAGACTGTACTTGATGGCAACTTTTTTTTTCTTTTTTTAATATGTTGACTATTTTCCCCCCATTAATAGAAATCATTCCTCACTCTTTTTACTCATTCCAGAAGATCAAATTATCTCTGAACCACAAAATACATGTTCAGAATTTTAGGTAGCTAATAAAAATTGCAGAGCCCTCATGGCGCAGCAGTTAAGAGCTCAGCTGCTTACCAAAAGATCAGCAGTTTAAATCCACCAGCCATTCCTTGGAAATCCTATGGGGCAGTTCTACTCTGTCCTAGAGAGTTTCTATGAGTTGGAACCGTCTTTATGGCACCTAACAACAACAACAACATTAAGTATTTTAACTATAAGATTTTTCCTAGTAAAGTGCTAATTTATATTTTAAAATAAACATCTAGGTGAAATTTTGAGTTAAAAGTAACTCTTGATCATTTGTAGAAACCTAGACCATGGATAGCGTAAGTATAAAACATTGAAATTTAAACAATCTACAACTCTAATTTTTCATTTTATTATAAACTTTTTTAAAACTAAAGAAGATGTAAAAGAAAGTTGCTGGCTTGTTGATTGATGATTTCTCTCTCTTGTATAACTCATCTGGTGATGCGAAGGCCTGGACACTAAGACCATCAGAGATGGCCGCAGGGCTTCCTGCAGTAGGAGAAGCAGCAAGGGAACTGAGTGGCTCAAACATTTAGTAATCATCTCTTGATTAATTTATTCTGGTCATACCTGCAAATCTGATTTCATAGTTTTCAAGTCAGAGGTTTAACTTTATTTCATCTGGAAGATATAAGGGAAAAGTTATTTGGCAAATTCCAGGAAGAATTTTTCAACAATTAGAAAGTGGATAACGTGGCAAAGACCTGGATCCTTCCCTGCCCTCCACAGCCCCCACCCAACCACCACTATCCTCAACCAGATTAGGCAGCAAAGTATGTTAAATCACATTTTGTTACTGCTCACACTATTAGGGCATGTTGTTGTTGTTGTTAGGTGCCTGGAGTTGGTGCCGACTCATAGCGACTCTAGGTATAACAAAATGGAACAGTGCCCGGTCTGAACCATCCTCACAATCACTGTTATGCTTGAGCCCATTGTTGCAGCCATTATTGGGCGTAACGTGGGTTAGATCATGTTCTCCTCAACCCTAATACTGAGTAGAAGTTTGAAACAACCAGTCATATATGAGGCAAAGATGTCAGTGCTGCTCGCCTAAACCTACTTTAAAGACCTCAGCTTGGGATTTTTGCCCAGGACCCTCTGAAGAAGAGTTGCTCTCCAGAGAGGGGGCGCCTACTATGCCTCCAAGGAAAAGAGTCCTTGAAAGAAGCAAATGGAAAACCTGGCTACAAGAAAACTGGGAAGACTGCACTGTGAGAGCTTTAAAAAAAAAAAAAAAAAAAAAAGCTATTTTCCTCGCTGATTAAATTATCACTCTTTTTTTTTTTTTTAAATGACAATTAACAGCATAAACGCCAAAACTTAAGCATCTCTTTAGAGCATTCTCTAAAACTGGTGGTCTTTAGGCTTTTCTCTCTCTCTTTTTTCCCCTTCTTTTCATCATGGCATGTTGTTTATTTTCTCACCCTTATTCTATCCTGTAATTGCTGAACTTTGTTTGGAGGGGAAAAAAAAAACTTAGAGTAGTTGAGAATGAAACAGTTCCTTTTGATAATAATTTTAAAAATCATATATTTGACAGTAATATATATCAATGAGTTTATGATGCAATCTGGAATGCCTTGAATAATGTATTAAGCCAAAAATTTTGATCAGCTAGGTCAGCCAGCCTGGTCTGAACAGAGCTCTCTTGGAACAAATCAAACATTTCACCAGTGAAGCGTATGAGCTGTGATTTCTTGGTGCTAAAAATGCCCCAGCTGACTGAGTCACCAGCACTGAGATGGGCCCTGCAGTTAGTCAGCCTGATACCACAAAGCTTTGGGGCTGTGATTACTCAAGTCCCTAATTCCAGTTGGATCAAGTCATGTTTAGACAGAAATCCGAAGATTTAACTGGGAAGGGAAAACATTAGCAATAATACAATAGCAAATCACCTTCTTCACAACGGAGTAGGATGCCAGTATTTGTGGTTTTCCCAGTGATCAAATTATACTTGAATGAACCTTCAAAATGTTATGCTAAGTGAAAGAAGTTAGTCACAAAAGGACAAGTATTGTACGATCCTAGTAAAATGGAATATCTAGAATAGGCAAGCTTATACAGACCAAAGTTTATTAGTGGTGATCAGGGTGAGAGGCAAGAGGAAAGGGGAATTATTGCTTAGGTGACACTGAGGTTTTCTGTTAAGGGTGATGGAAAAATTTGGAAATAGATAACGATAATGGTTGAACAACATAATGAACATAATCGATGTGACTGAATTGTACATGTAAAAAACGCTGAAGTGGCAACTGTTTTGTTACAGATATATTTACCACAATAAAAAAAGAGGCTATAATTGAAGATTTTAGGAAGACCTTCCAGAAATAAGGCTGAGTTTAAAAGCTGCTTGTTGGCATCTCCTGATGCTTCCTTCATTCACGGAATGATCTCGTATGTCATAGAATTACAGAATTAGGGGGCATGAAGGAGCTTCAGAGAGATTCTGGTCTAAATACCTTCCTTTCAAAAAAGAAAGAGAAGTCTGGAAAGAGAAATGATCCGCAGAGGATATGAAAATAGCATACTGTTTCCCAGTCCAGGCCTTCTTTCCTTTTTATAAAAATAATTTCAAATTATTTTAATGGATGAATACGTTCTACACTTAAAAAATTGAAACAATACACCTAACGTATCCTTCGACCTCCACACCCAGGACTCTTCTCAGAGGTAATCATTTTGGTGCATATATGCATTCATTCTGTATAGTTGCCATTTAAACCATCTTATTGTTGTTAATTGCCATCAAGTTGATTCCGACTCAGAGTGACCCCTATTATATATATATATATTTAAACCCAGATATACCATAAGGAATGACTAAAAAATCTCTAAAAAACTATGTTTAAATATGTTAGGAAATTTGTTAACTTCCTGATTACCAGTGTGGTTGAGCATATTTTCATATTTTATTAGCATTTGTATGTATTCTCTGTGATATACCTTCTGATATTTTTTGCCTATTTATTCTTTGGGTTTTTGTCTTTTTCATGCTAATTTGTTAGTGTTATTTGTATAATTTTAATTCTACTTCTTGGTTGATTATATACAGTATAAATATTTTCAAGGAATTTTGTGTTATGTAAAATTTTTTAATTTTGATGGCAGCCCAGTGCTTTTTCTGCTGCATCATGCTAATTTCAAATGAATTTTCTGAACTTCATTTTCCAATTCATAACATGGAAAATTTCAGAAAACAACATTGATTACCTTAGACATATTTGCTGTCATAAAACTCACCAAATTAATCCAAGAATTAATCTAAAGCATTAACTTCATGTACATGAGACCAGGCCTAATACACTCAGAAACACAAAGCAATGCACAGTCATACTCCACAGGAGGGAGAATGGATAGGTATATGAGGAAAATTCCTTTGTACAAGTCAGCATTAACCCTTTTCTCCCAGATCATTCTTTACCAAGTGTAAAATGCATAGTGTCTTAGCAAAATGCATACAGCTTCTTAGAAACAGATCTTAGCAAATCAGACCTAGTAAATGAAATAGCTTTATAGGAGAGAGCTGGGTAAACCACAATATTATATAGAAAGAGTTAGAACATAATTGGAAGCCTATTCTGTGGCTAGTACTACACTGAAATCTTTATGTACATTGTCTCCTTGTCTCCTCATAAAACTTTTATGAAGTTACTATTGTCATAAAACTTTTATGAAGTTACTATTGTACATTGTCTCCTTATCTCTTCATAAAACTTTTATGAAGTGACTAATGTCATCATTACAGAGGAGAGTTAAATAACTTCCCAAGGTTATCGGTTGCCCAATTAATATATGTTGAATTTAGGATTCATTTTCAGGTTTGTCCCGCTTAGAAGCTCTTAGCCATCGTGCTGTATGCACTCAACACATATATGTTGAGTTCCTGTTATGTGCTAGACATCCTGTGAGGATCTGAGGAAAAAAGGCAACCTAGACAGAGTTTTGTCCCCATGGAGCTTAGTGTCTAGGGGTTGCAGCTAGACAATAAATAAGTAGAAAACAAATAAAAAAAAAAACACCTAATTAATAAATACCTTCCAATTGGGAAGACCTATAATTGAACAATGGAACCAACAGGGTACTATCAGAAAAAACTTAATTGGCAGATAGCAAAAAAGGCCTCTCTAAAGAGGGGACATTTAAGTTATGAATGATAAATATAATCTTTTGTCATTTATTAAGTTTTATTTTAAAATTATGATCTTTTATACTTTCTGGAAAATTTTATAATGCACAGAGCCCTGGTGGCACAGTGGTTAAGAGCTCCGCTGCTAACCAAAAGGTCGCCAGTTCGAATCCACCAGCCACTCCTTGGAAAACCAATGTCAAAAAATATCAAGACCTTAATGATTTTTCTAAAGATGGAGATATTTATATTTCCTTTAAATTAATAATTTCTTAAGGGAGATTGTCATTCAATAATTTTTATTGGCAGCTATTGATGTTAATATTGTAGAAATTAAAAAGTTAAGTTGACTTTTAGAAATAGTTTACATTGGCAATGCTGCTGTTAGCAAAAGTAATATTAATAGGTTACAGCCACTACCTATGAAATGTTTCCATGTCATTCTTAGGTATGTATCCTTAGTTATTGTAAAACTAAATCATAGTTTTTGTCTTTTGAATTACATGATCTTACTCTGAAATTCTTGCAAATATGATTTCTGAGTATTTCCAGGTGAGGTTAACGGTAATAATACTTCAAATTCTCAAACAGAGGTTTATCCTCCCTTCCACAACTTTCCACTGCTAGAGGATTCTAGAATCTGTTTGAAGGTCCTGTTTTCCCCCCTAAACCTTGTATGCCATTCAGTAATTTTAATCAAGATCTTCACCCTCTCTACCTGGCAAATCACTGGACCGTAATTGTGAGTGTTTGGATGTATGCAACAGAGGCCAAAACAAACAAACAAAAAGGATAAAACCTACTGGATTAAATAATATATTTTTCATTTTTAGAAGTTGACAACGAACATGCTTTTTTCTTCTTATTTGTTTTTCCCTTCAGAATTTGAACATTTCATTTCAGCATTTGGGGGACCCTTATCGAGTTGAAAATTTTAACAGGATTCTTCGAAGACTAATTAGAGTTCAAACCCTCTGGCTAGTGGATAATTCACTGGTAGATTTAAGTGCCATAAGATTGCCAAGGTGCCTGCTCCCTAGTATATTCAGTTACTAAATTAAAGTCACATCTTTGCTCTTTGGGTACATGTGACCTTTGTCTGTACATGTTATTGTGCTTCATGTGGTCAGCTCTTCAAAGTGACACTTCCTGCTAAAGTGACATGTATGGCAAAGTAAAAAGAGAAATTTATATGTCAAAATGTCACACTTTAGAGGAGGAAAAATCTATATTTTTTCAAATTAAAATTTTTATTATCAATTGTCAGAGAAGTAGTTTATAACCATGGAACCATATTTCCAAAAAAGCTTACCATTTTCCTTATGTTGTAAACTGGAAAATGCAATTACATTACATACATATTATAGTTGTAAGACTGTAATTTTCAGTCATATTTATCTGTGCAGAATGACTCTACCAGCTAGTCTGAGAGACCAAAAATAACGAATCAACAAGAGTGTTGGCTCTCAGATTGTGTTCTAATGAAGAAGGGATGGCGAGCACATCAGTGACAGAAACAAACTGAAAAAAAAATCATTATGGATCCCCTTGTCTTCCAAGAGGTCCCTGGGTGACACAAATGGTTTGCGCTTGTCTGTTGACTTAAAGGTTGGCTGTTCAAACCCGAGTGGCACCGCAGATCAAAGGCCTGGAGATCTGCTTCTGAAAAGACCACAGCCAAGAAAACCATATGGAGCAGTTCTACTTTGTAGCACATGGGGTCTCCAGGAGTCAGAATCGACTCAACAGCAACTGGTTTTGTTTTTATTTGGTTTTCTAAGGCTCCTATATTAAAGATAATCAGCTCCTTTGCTCAGGATTGCTTAAGAACCCTTTATATAAAGAGCTGCTAACTGAAAGATTAGTGGTTTGAGTCCACCCAGAGACACCTCAGAAGAAAGTTTTGGTGATCTACTTTTGAAAAATCAGCCATTGAAAACCCTGTAGAGGAAAGTTCTATTCTGACACACATGGGATCACCATGAGTCAAAACTGACTCAATAGCAATTGGTTTTACTTGTTTTATCTGCTTCACCAGGCAGAATGGGTAGGTGGAGTGAGCTTTGGTAGCAAAGACAGAGTTCCTCAAGCATGAATTAGGAGTTGAAACAAGTGGAGCATTCACATGATGGAAGGATAAACTCTGGAAGAGGTTAAGATACATCTCTGAACTTGAGCTGAGATAGAGCAACAAAAAGAGACCATCACAGCTACACAGGAGAAGGGGTCAGTCAGGCAGAGGGAGAAAGTGTGAGGCTCTGCAAGGTGTCTGGTACCCCCACCTTCACTCATTTTCAAAGTCCCCTCAAAGCTTTAAACATACTTGCATAGTATTGGAATTTATGTATGTTCTTCTTAAATGGCTAATTTTAAAATACCTACATAAAATTTTTCAAAAGGAAATTTACATCACTACCATAAGTAAAAATTCAATAGCACTTGATGTTGATTTATTTAGTCTTTCTTTTTGACCAGGTTCTATTCTTGGTGGAGATATGATAGTGATATATAAATTATATTTTTCTAATACACATTAAAATAAACAGAAAATTTTTAAATGGTCATATTCGTTTATTGCATACTTTGGAAACACTGAACTAGAAGATTCTTTAGTTGGAGTACCTGAATTTTACTGATCCAGATTTGGGACTGGGGAAGGCAAGAGGGTCTGGAACTGCCTGGGCCTGGTTTGGGATTAGAAATTGTCATACTGTGAAAGCATACCTAAAGACAACATGTAGCCTGGAATAATGCAGAAGTCAGAGCTATCGAAGACACGACTGGAACTGTGTAAAATATACATATGGAAAAGAACTGGGAGGAAACAAGGAAAATGAAAATAAGCGATGAAATCTAGGTAGATTAAAACTGAATTCTCTTTCTAAATATGCTGTCTGGCAGCCGCTCTCTGTATAGGACCATATTTACCACTAGTATTATTACTATTTACTAAGTGTCTTCGTGGGATCCAAAGCCCATAAATAAGTACACTGTGTTTCTCTCAGTGTATTAAATCCCAACTTATACATAAAGGAATTTCTCCTCAAGACAAAGTGTCAGTAATAGATTTTGAATTATTTTCTCTGTTCATATAGATTCTTGTACAATTATGGCTTTAAGGCAAAACTATCGAGAAGCATTATTTATCAGGAAAAAGTGCTCAATTTAAATGCCTAACACATTTTACTCCTCCAAAGGATACATTTTAGTTTTCTTTTATATAAAAAAAGCTTTTTTTATGATTTAAAAAGCTAGTTTCTCAATACAGGAATTGAATACAGAAAAATAGAAAGAAAGAAAAATAACTACAGTTTCCCACTTAGAGGCAATATTCTCTCTTCACAAGTTAGTATGTTTTTGTGTGTGCGTCTTGGCTGCATTTTGCTGAGATTATATGCAGCCATCCACTTTTTCATTCAGGACATACTGAGAACCTGCAGGGGCCAAATGCTGTGCCAGGTACTGGGTGTACACATCAGAAAAGCCAACAGACTGTGGCACTCAGTGAGCTTACAGCCTCATGGATCCTGCCTGTATTCTCTGAAAATTTTAGTACAAACATTTCTGATTTCTTTATAAACCATGTTAGTGGGAAATATCACTGTCACTCTCTTCAGGAGTGAGGCATGCTAGAGCTATGTAAGATTTGGTAGCTAACTATCCTCTTCAGGATATGAATATTAACAAGATGTCAAATTTTGTATCCAGCTGCAGAGTTTTAAATCTAAACAAAAACCATCTTACATCTTTCAAACAATTGCCAAAGATACCTCAGATACAGCATTTATCCTTGGCTGAAAACAAGAATGAGACTCTGACTGGACTCTCCAGTTTACGATGCACCCCATTAGAATCCCTTATGCTCAAGAGGAACCCTTGCGAGTTTCACAAAAATTATCAGAAACGGTAAGTCTCCAAAGGGACTTTTTGCACGTCATTGAATATCATACTTTGAAAAGTTGTTCTTCTCTCACTTATATTCATTCAAAAAATACTTACCGTATTTGCTATGTGCCGAACGCTTGATGCTTCTGGTCTCACCTAAAGAACTTTGAACTGATCCCTTTTGTCTTCTTTAATACACTCTTTTCTCTTTGTTAATTTTTTATTGCTGTACTAATTTTAGGTGCCTCTTGTAATGTGACTTTGCAAAGATGTTTCATTTTAGACTTTCAAATCCTATGTATTTTCTTCCGTAATTTTTAATGGATATTATGTCTTTTTAAAATTTCTAAATATAGATTCCTATCAAATTTCAAATGACAATCTTATAAATTGTTTATTGTCTGGTTTTATTTTCATCCTTTGGGTCACAAGGGCACCATTAAGTGAATACAAAGAGGTAATTGATTCGGTCTACTCGAGTGGTTGATAGGGCTCAAAGATATGCCAAAAATAAACTCTTTGTGTGCTTTTGTTACTACTGGAAACATTCCTAATGGTAATAATGGAATCTAAACGACCTTGGCATGTTCTCCAAGTAATATGCCCACCTATTTATCTCCAGCTAATTTCCAGCACCACTATCAGTACACTTCTGGGAATTAGAAGAATAAAAGCAAGCAACTGAGTTCTAGAACCTGTATTTGCCACCATGTGATCAAAGGTCATCTCACCTTTCAGTTCAAATCTGTCATACACAGGGTTAAGTCACCTCTAGGGTTTATTCCTGTTCTATGATTCCAGCCTTTCATCTACACCCAATTTCAATAAAAGATGTAATTCTCACCTCTCTTTTTCTCAAACTGCCCTTTCCCCATGACAGCAACTAAATTCTAGAGGCCTATATAATATTAGACTCTTCAAGTCCTGAGGTACAATGAAAAATTGTCAAAACAAAAATTCTAACCTCCGATTTTACTACATAAATCTCATTACTTCAGTTGTCTCCCTTACAACTGTAGTCTGGAAGCAAAATTTCATGTTCTGTGATAATAAATTTTCAAATTACTTTTACATAATGGTGAAAATAAGCAGCACAACTGCTTTAATATTGAACTAATGTTTAACTATAATAATGTTTTAGAGTTTAAAACTGTATTTCATGCAGTCAATGGAAGCTTAGCTGGACATTTCACCATAATTCATATAATACACATTCCTAGTCACAGAGATAATTTATTTGTATTATATTTTAGTTTTTTTAATTTATATGTGGTATTGTATAAAACATTTTGGCCCCAACTCAGTCACTTGCCTCCCTTCAAAGAGTGCCTTACAACAATACTATTAAGATTAATTGTCTGAAATGTGACATGCCTTGAGGTCTCACTATAAATCTACCTTCGAAATCTGTGATGTGGTATGGAATTATGTGGGAAAGTGGCATATAATGAGGTTCTACTATATTTCCAGTATTAACTCTCTTGGATTCAATCCAAGGCTCACATATACTGACTTTCAGCCTATAAAAAGCCAGGTTATATTGACTTAGGTAGTACAGCGTTGCTTTGAATATGCTTGAAAACACATTGGTCATTTTAAAGTAGGAGGAAAGGATTTAAGCATCCTTTCATGCTAAGGAATTAAACTGAAATCCCAAGTTCATCCAAATTCAGGTTCAGCTTCCAATAAAAAACCTATACTTTGAAGATTATAATAGTATTTATTTTGTCACTGGGTAGCTTTGTGTCAAGGATTTGGGCCAGACCTTCAAAGCCCCTTTATGCCACGTTCAGATTTTTTATAACTATAAGCTTTTCTTGATCGTTATCACTCAGAATTGTTACCGCGTCTTTCCTTCCTCCTTTGGTTCAGATGATCCAATAAGAAGACAGTGCAGTTCAAAAGAGAAAGGACTTAATGATAGAGCTAATAGTAAACTCCCTGTAGGTGAAGGGTAGCCCCACCTCCTAGGACACTCACAAACTCCTCTGCCAATCTCCAGGAGTTAATGAGATCCTAGTTCACCATAGCCTAACTTTTTTAAAAGGAGAAGTGGTTAGGGTTCTTTGGCAGCTAAGCCAGAACATTGGAGCCATAAGACAGATTTTAATCTTTGCTCCGTTGCTTACAGGCTTTATAATCTTGGATAAGTTATTTAAAACTAGGGATGAAAACTTACCTCTCAGGGTTGTTATGAGGATTAAATGAGATAATTTGTGGAGAGCATTTAGCACTAAGAAAATCACACAGCCATTGGGAGTTTTCAAGGAGGTCGGCACCATCATTGGTTGACTAGCACATCTACTAAGAGGTTTCAGTATCCTTCATTCTAGGAAAATTAGATGCCACCTATTTCCTCTAGCCTGAACCTCAGAATTCCCAGATCTAGAAAACCTGTCCACTTGAAAGAGAACACTGTTATATAACACTGCTATGCACATGACCATCATTTGACTGGGTTGGGCTGAGCCTGGAAATGAATGGCTCTCTACATTTGAAATGTGACCTTCAAAATGCCCTCTGTCAAGAGAAAATAACTCAGCACACTATCATTTCCCAACCTTCAGCCAGAATTCTTTCCTTAACGATCACTGAACAACAGACTAATAGGAACTTCTTTACTTTTTTTTTTTTTCACCTTTTAACTTTACAACGTACACATATATCATGATCTCACTCTTTTTCTCTTGGTTAGTTAGCTATATCTACTCATTGACTTTTTTTTCTTTATAGGACTGTAAAAACTGGAATGAAATTCTCTTATAAAAGCAGATTGTACAGTTCTACTTCTCTGATCAATACTTGCAATCTGCTGAAAGATCTGTTAGAATCCCAAAAGCGTAAGCTAGAGCAGGGTCATCAACTCAATGAACACAAATATTATTTTATTTTAGTCCCAGTGCAAAGATAAGGAAAATCGAATAAAGTGATATAGCCTCTCATCTTTTTTGTAACAACAGACAAAGTAAAAGTTCATTTATAAAGCAAGTAAGTGAAATAAAATGCTTTTGGTCAATATAGTTACCTTTTTTTTTTTTTTTTTTTTCAACTTTTGCTTTAGAGCGTTCTCCTGTTTGCCAAACTTACAAATGGTGGATGGGATCCAGAAGCTACCAGAAGATTGTTCACCACCAGAAACCAGTATCTTTTCCAAAATGTGCACTATATCTTAATGTACTCTGTATAGAAAGAAAGCAACCACCATTGTCATTAAAAGCTAATAAACAGAGGTAACTCACGATCAAATATTGTTGCTTATTATATTAATCATGCATATATTAAATATATATTATGTATATTGGTTTAATATATATACTATATATTGGTTAAATATATAGTATATATACTGGTTATATATTATATATATTGCTTTAATACTATATATACAGCTTTGCTAGATATATAAAATATTTAATATATATATATTGTTTTCCTTTAAACCAGTGGTCTCCACAGATTTTTTTAAATTCCATATCCCTAACAGCATATATAAGGAGCCCTAGTGGCACAGTGGTTAAGAGCTTGGCTGCTAACCAAAAGGTTGGTGGTTGGAAACCACCAGTCACTCCACAGGAGAAAGGTGTGGCAGTCTGCTTCCATGAAGATTACAGCCTTGGAAACCCTATGAGGCAGTTCTACTCTGAACTATGGGGTGGCTATGAGTCGGAATCGACTCGACAACAATGGGTGATCAGTAAATATATTTTAACACACTCATATAAGTATTCATTTTATTTAGAAATTTTATACAAGGAATACTAGAAAATTATATAGCGTATATTTTAAACACTAAAAAGTAGAAATCTTAAAATAATGACATACAAATTTAATATGAATAAGGAATTTAAGGTTTTTTCCACACTCCAGGAACTCATGTGGGCCAAGCCGCCTGCTATGAGCCCCTTACTTTGAGAGCACTCCTTTAGGTACCTAAACAGATCAAAAAGAAAAGAGACCATCAGACATGTCTTGCATTATCTTAAGGCACGTTGCATTGGGGTCTTCATTTTTAACACTCTGTTGTTTATTAATGACTTTCATACAATCGAGACTTAAGGTCTTAGGCCACGTGCTATTCATTAGATACCTAGAAAATAAATAATAATAGTAAAGCTTCTTTTCGTTCAGTGGACTTCATAAACATGATTTTAAAACTGTCTTTCCTTTAAAAAATCATAGTGCTTAGGGCTGGCAAAGGTTCAGAGGAAAGGAAACTCTCCTATCAGGTCGTGTCACAACCATTCTGTAAGGCAATTTATTTATAAGGATGAAAGTCTTTCAAACGTCCATACCCTATGGGAAAGCAGTTCCATTTATAATAATTTCTCCTAAGGAAATAATTAGAGGTATGCACAAAGATTTATTTCCAAGGAGGCTCCTAAAAACATTGTATACAATAACAACAACAAAAAATTAAAACAAACAAAAAAAGGAAGACAATTTATTCAGAATCCCTAACACTAGGGAATTGGTTAAATAAATTACGTTAGATTAAAAAAAAAAAAACTGCCTTTTCTGTATGTCAATGAGAAAGAAAACAATTCAATGTAATTAGAGAAAGGTGGACAACTAGATCAATTTATGACCTTATTTTATTTTTTAATTCATAAAAATCAACTTACTTGCAGAACAACTAAGGTTTTCCCAAGATGATTCATTGATTAAAGAAATCAAAGAACTATTTTTCTGGCTCATGCTGCCATGAGTGAATACTGCTTGGAAAATAATATAACAAATATTTAAACAAGACCAAGACATAGGCCCTTCGCTCAAGAATCTTATGAATGATTGAAGAAAACAGGCACACAGGTAAGACCAAAACCTCAGTGGAAAATGGCTGGGAGTACCTGCTATGGAAACAAAGGGGGGGAAGATACTTAATTTGAAATTATGGGAAGCTACTTCAAAGACTTTATAGAAACAATCTCATTTGAGATGAACCTTAACGCATTAACTGCTTATACTACCCAGGGATTCCCTCATTTTGTAGGTAGGGATAATTAAGGCTCAGAGAGGTTAAGTAATTTACTTAAGATCACACAACTATTACATGGCAAAGCCAAGATTTAAAGCCTCAACCCCTTCCAACACCCTTGCTGCATTTTCTAGTGATGTTGTTGTTAGGTGCCTTGGAGACAGTTCCGCCTCATGGCAACCTTACGTATAACAGAACAAAATGTTATCCAGCCCTGTGACATCTTCATGATCGTTGCTATTTTTAAGTTCATTGTTTCAGCCACAGTGTCACTCCATCTCACTGAAGGCCTCCCTCACCTTCGCTAACCTTCCACTGTATCAACCATGATGTTGTTTTCTAACAGTTGGGCTTTCCTGATGATGTGTCCAAATGAGCAAACTGAAGTCTCACTCTCCTTGCTTCTAAGGGGCTTTCTGGTTGTATAGTTCTAATTTTAAAATTCAAGACGCTATTTTTGTGTTTCCAAGGACACTTCATTTTTCACAATACATCTCAAATCCTAGCATTTAATCATAATCAAGTATTCACCATTCCTTGAACATACCCTAAATTGCCTTGTTCAAGTCTTCCCCTGTCCTTGCAATACTGTTCCCTTGACTGCAGCTTGCAGAAATCTTTCCTTCTTACAGGGCTCACTTCAAATGTTATTTCCTCCCCACATCTTCCCTCCTCATTCTATCGACCTATTCCTCTGCAGTTCCATAGTACTTTCTTATATCTGTCTTATGGCACATTTATTTTATTATGCCTCAACTTGATTTTTTTTTTTTAATACCCTGCCAGCTTCCAAAAAAAGGCTTTTAGCAAGAAGTAAATAAGAAAGTGGGACATATTTCATTTTAGATGTTTATGCATGTATCCTTTCTGCCTCTCTAAATCAAATTAGGCAAATAATTTCTGCAGGGATCATATAGTAAATATTTTAGACTTTTGGGCCACATGGTCTTAGTCACAACTACTCAACTGCTGTTTCAGTACAAAAGCAGTCATAGACAATATGTAAATGAATGGGTGTGGCTGTGTTCCAGTGAAAACTTTATTTACAAAAACAGGCAGCAGGCTGTAGTTTGCTGATCCTTGCTCTAAATTTTAGGTCCTAGATGGCACCAACAGTTTGCGCTTAACTACTAACCTAAAGAGTGGAGGTTCAAACACACCCAGTGGCACAGTGGAAGAAAGCCCTGATGATCTGCTTCCATAAAGATTATAGCCAAGAAAACCCTATGGAGCAATTCTATTCTGTAACACATGGGGTTGCCACGAGCCAGAATTAACTTGACGGCAATGGGTTTGGTTTTTATGGGTTTTGGTGGCTCTAAATTTTAGAGTCCCTGGGTGATACAAACAGTTAAGGTGCTCGGTTACTAACTGAAAGGTTGGAGTTTTGTCTTTACTTAGAGGTACCTCAGAAGAAAGGCCTGGCAATCTACTTTCTTAAAAACCCTATGAGCACAGTTCTACTCTGACACACACAGGGTCACCACGAGTCAGAATCAACTCAATGGTGGTGGTGGCTCTAAATTTTGAGGTCTTGTGCTTAACTGCATTACTTTCCACCAATATCTACTTGCCATCCTGGGAGAAGTCATCTACTCCTTGAAGTCAGATATATCAAGCAATTTGTTTTCGTCAGTGAAATATAAATAAGTGTGATATAGATCACTTGCAGATGAATATTTTGAGAACCAGTCTGTACTTTGTCACAGTCTTTCCTTATGCCACTTCAGCTGGCAAATTTCCAGATTGAGACTGTTTCATCACCCTGGGTTTTGCAGTGAATATGAAGTGGAGCAAAGCCATAGCTAACCTATGGAAGATGTGTAGCTATACAGAAATGGACCTGAGTTGAGTTGGCACTCAAAATGTTGAATGAATGGATAAATTGCTATCATAGGAAACCATGAATGGGGTAGCAAAATTACCAGGTAGGATACAACTACAACAGTTTATGTGAAGTGTATTGAATGGTGTTGGAAATAGAAGAAAGTTATGAGGGCATGAACTCTTATTGTCTTATTGTTTAAGCTAGTTTGAACTGGATTGATTTCCTGTTACTTGCAGGCAAAACATTCTAACTGACAAGGAAAATCATGAGTTACATATGTGGAGTGTAAAAGGTGTTGGGTTGCTACACATAGCTATGATGAAGAGGAAGGGCTAAGCTCAGAGGTACATGGTAAGGGTCCCAAGATGTATATCACATTATTCCTAGGAAATCATCCGCGTTGGTTTAGAATCTGATATTCTGATTTTAAAAGATACAGGTTCTATAGGGAGTGTGGAAAGAGAGAGTTGACTTAAGTTGGTGATATCTGCCTATATCAAAGAGGAGCTGAATAACGTTAAATCCTAAAATTGAGTTTTTCTCCTCACTCTAGTGGGGGCAGCTGTAGCAGCCATCAGTGATGGGATATGCAGTATGATGTTGCTATTATTTCAAAAAATAGACTTATTTGATGTGTGTAACACTTCCTCATATCTTCTATAATACCCAGAGATCTGAACTAATCTTTCCACCATGGCCTTAGACAATGCAGACATATTGTGTTGGAAAATGTGCAGGGATTTCTACTAGCAATAAAGCTATATTTGTGGGAATTTTGTGCATCAGCTTCAACAATGACTGACTTCTGACCATAGTCAATTAACTCAACAGAATCATACTGTCTTAGGCTGGGTTGTCTAGAGAAGCAAAACCAGTAAAGCATATAAATATATATATATATAGAGAGAGAGAGAGAGAGATTTATATCAAGGAAACAGCTCACGTGATTGTAAAGCCTAGAACGTCCCAAGTCTGTGGATCAGGGTCTCCCAAGTCATGCAGTCACAGAAGCTGCTAGCCCAAGACTGGCAGGTTAGAGAGCAGGGCTCCTGCTCACAGTCTGTGAAGATCGACGAATACCAAGTTCGGCAGATAAGCTGACAGCTCAAGTCCCAAAAACCGGAGATGAGATGACAAGAGGCAGCTGCAGGATTCAGAGTGAGCAAAAAGCCAGAATGTCTGCTTATATTCGGATGCAGGCCACACCCCCAAGGAGACTCCCTTTCATCTGATTGGCTACTCACAATATATTCAATCATGGGAGTGATCACATTAAAACACTGAGAACCATGGCCCAGCCAAGTTGACACACAATCTTAACCATCACGTATACCTAAACTCCCATTTAAAAACTTATAGTCACATCTATCCTTCTGAAACATTGAGTTCTTTTCCAATGCCTTGGAGATAATAGACATAAAAGGAATGTCCTAATGCCATTTAGTATTTCACATTTAATTTTGTGTCCCAATTTCATTTTTCTCCCAAATGGTACATGTGTGTAGGTTCATAATTATCTGGATCACTCAGTTCAAACGAATGGCAGGGACTAATTTGTATAGATGTTATAATTTTCTGAAAGAGGAGCATAATGAAAATACCTCCTTTGCTAGAAAATAATTTCAGTGACAGAGGCTCATTCAGTTCATAAAGAAACCTTACATATCAACTAGTCCAGTCCCTCAACAGCCCACAATAAATGCTGTATCAGCTCTACAATATCCAATAAAGGATTTTCCAGTTCCCATTGGAACAACTTGAGCAATAAGAAATGTCTGAGAAAATGATATTTGATCTGCCCTGGTCTTTAAAAGTTCTTAATTATGTTGATCTGATATCTGCCTTCTGCAACTTCCAACTAATTGTTAAAATCTCTCAAATAAATATAATTAATCCTGTCTTACAGGGATTTTTTTCTTAGCTTCAGGTTCTTGAAAGTACCCTGGTATTTTCCCTTGTATTACCAGGGAAATGTAAGTGGTTAAAATAGGAATCCTTGGGCTGAGGAGGATGGGGAAGGATAGGGAAAAGCTAACTAGGAAAAGCCAAAGCAAGAAAAATAATTTTCTTTCAAGTCCTATATACATTTGAACTGTGTGCATAAGCACATGCCAGTTGCCTCAAAATTACAAGCAGTGATAAGACTGCTGGGCTGAAGATACTATCTGATTCCATTGGTTCCCACACAAAAGACATTTACACAGTGCGGGCAATTGAAAGATATTATTTATAGAAAGCAAACAGTAAACAACAGGAACAAATTTGAGGTGAGCCAGTCACCTCCCCATACAAGAACCCCATTTAGCATTATAGAGGAGGAATCCACTAATGTCAAAAAGGGAACCCATTCACCCTTCCCAAATTATCCGTGTTCATTTCCATGTTATTGGGTGGGTATGCCAAGCACTAGGTGTCAGCAGGTGTCTCTCTCTCAGCAGGTGTGTCATCAGCTCTGGTCAGGTGCTGCGTGGCTGTGTTTGTTGCCTGTCTCTGTGGCTTTTCTTGGCTCGGTCTGACCCCTGTGCTTGCAGGTCCAGCTCTCAATCAGCATTTTCGGAACAACCCTGGGCCAATGTCAGCTGTCAACGACAGCTCTTAAGGCAAAACTTTTATGGGCAGTCCTTGTTCGCAGGCGTAAGGCCAAGCCTTTGCTCTATTGGAGACTTCCTGCCCTGAGGCATCCAGCTCTGCTCCCTTTGCCAACTCACTCACCACTGCCATCTTCTTAATGGGATGACTGCCTACCACTGCCATCTGCTGCTCTTGTGGTTCCTGCCACTTGTACTGCTGACAGTTTCTGTGCCGCTCAGCTCTGCTATGCTTGCCGCTGCCATTTTGCTCCATCTTCAGTGTTACCAGCTCAGTGAGCATTACCAGCTCAGTGCTACAGCACTTGACCTGTATTACAGCCCCTCTAGGAGGTTCTCAGCACAGAACCCCAGTATCCAAAGGACATACTCCTCTTCTGGGTCTTATCAGTCAGGAAACCCAAAAAAAACTCTGTGAGATTGACTCCCATTGCCATCCAGTTGATTCCGACTCATAGCAACTCTACAGGACAGAGCAGAACTGCCCCATAGGGTTTCCAAAGGGTGGCTGGTGGATTAGAACTGCGGACTTTTGGGTTAGCAGCTGAGCTCTTAACCACTATGCTTATATAGAAAAACTCCTTGTCAATTTCAGGAAGTGGCTTTCATAAACCAACCAATGCCTTAGGCAGATCATAAACAGACCAATTCTATTGGATGGATTTGCAAGCCTTTTATGTATCTAGTAAACTGACTAATCCCTACAAGCCACTTACTTAGACAGTAAACCAACCAATCCCTTGAAAGTTTGTGGCCCAACTAATCATTGTGGGAGAATTACAAACCCAGGGTCAGAAAGGCACCACGACATCCAAGGAGGAAGATCTCTAAAATGAATTCCCCATACTAAATTAAAAAGTGAAGATAGCATGCTTATTTTTCAGTTCTTTCAGAACTCGTCTACTTTCCACTACTATTTCTTTCCAGAATAGAACAATTATAACTGATTGCTTGTCATTATGCTACCAAACTGTGTTAATGGATGCTCATCTTTTTAAAGGCTAATTGCAGTTATGAAACGAAATGTCTAATTAGTTTCAAAGCTTTGGAGCAGATGCAGCAATATTTGAATCATGCAGGTGTGTATTTGATTATCTCCTTTTATTTTTCTTCAGAAGAAGAAGTATTCTATGAGTTCTGTTTTGAATTACTAAAAGGTCACTCCAAAACATATTACAATAATTTATAAAAATCATAGTGAAATCTACTGCTGGTTAAAAAAAAATTCTCAATATCCTTGAGTTGCACATATTTTATGGTGCTTTTTACCTTATACTTTATATTCTAGTTATTTTTTGACAAAGTCTACTAAAATGCAAGTTTCTTCAAGGGCCGGATTCATCCTAATTCTCTTTATGTCTATCAAAGAACTGAGCACTGTTTTCAGTAAATATTGAGTGGATGAATGAAGTTTGAGTGTGTCCTTCTTGAGTTTAAAATTCTACTACTGGAAAAACAGCATTTCTTCAAATTATATCTCATGAGTCTGAAGAAGTAAATGTTACAGGACTGAGAAAATATTTGGTAAAAACAAAAGAACTCACTGAGTCATGAACTTCTCTATGTAAATATATGAGACTTGGTTGCTAATGGCTTCTTTTCTACCGATTTCCTCACTCCTTTACTTGACCAGGAGCCCTGGTGGTGCAGTGGTTAAGAGCTTGGCTGCTAACCAAAACAGCAGCAGTTAGAATCCACTAGCTGCTCCTTGGGAACCCTATGGGGCAGTTCTACTCTGTCCTATAGGGTTGCTGTGAATCAGAATTGACTCAACGGCAATGGCGTTAGTTTGGTTTTTGGTTTTCACTTAACCAAGTCAAACCAAAAGCCAGCAGCTAGGGTTCTGGACAGAGCTGGAGAAGGATGTAGAGCATAATTCTAACCTACAAAAAAAGACCAGATTTACTGGCCTAAAGGAGACTGGAGAAGCCCCGAGAGTGTGGCCCCCAGACACCGTTTTAGCTCAGTGGTGAAGTTACCTCCGAGGTTCACTGTTCAGCCTGGGAGTAGACAGCCCCATAAAACCAAATGAGACTAACGAGGTACAGGAGTCCAGTGACAAGGGCCAGAAAGTAGAAGGGACAGGGAAGCTGGTGATAGGGAACCCAAGGTTGAGTAAGGATATTGTTGATGTGTTGTGAGATTGTTAACCATTGTCATAGGGCAACATTGGTAGCAACTGTTAAATGAGAAACTATTTTGTTCTGTAAGCCTTCATCTTAAGTGAGAATAACGGCACAATTCGAAGAGCATAGTCAATGTCACTGAACGGGGCATGCAGAAATTTTTGAAATGGTGTATCTTCGGCTATGGGTATTCTCACCAAAAAAAAAAAAGGTTGAGAAGTTAGAGGGTTGATACGTTGTGGGGTTGTTAACCAATGTCATAAAACAACATGTGTACTTCTGTTTCATGAGAAACTATTTGTTGTGTAAGCCTTCACCTGAAGTACAATAAAAAAATAAATAAAAGAAAAAAGAAGAAGAAAAAAAAAAGCCAGCAGCTCTGTTCTCACTGTCCCTCCACCCAAGGAGAGAGAGCTGAACTGCTGGGACACTGATTACTGATTCAGCTGAATTTTCTATGTGTGAAGGAAACTTTCAAGGGGGTTATAATTTTTCTTTTCCTAATTCTCCTCCTTCCACTTGGGAAGTGGTAACAGCCCCAGCTTGCTTGCTCACTTGCTCTCTCCCTCCAACCATCTCTGCCTCTTCCTATTTTATGTCTCGATTCAGTCCTATAGATCCTGTCATGGATTGAATTATGTCCCCCCAAAAATGTGTGTATCAGTTTGGCTGGGCCATGATTCCCGGTATTGTATGATTTTCCTATGTTGTAAATCCTGCCTCTACGATGTTAATGAGGGAGGATGAGCAGCAGTTGTGTTAGTTAAACAAGACTCAGTCTACAAGATTGGATTGTGTCCTGAGGCAATCTCTTGAGATATAAAAGAGAGAAGTGAGCAGAGAGACTGGGGACCTCATACCACCAAGAGAGAAGCACCGGGAGCAGAGCATGTCCTTTGGACCTGGGGTTCCTGTGTGGAGAAGCTCCCAGACCAAGGAAAGACTGATGACAAGGACCTTCCTCCAGAGCTGACAGAGAGGGAAAGCCTTTCCCTGGAGCCAACGCCCCGAATTCGGACTTCTAGCCTACTGGGCTGTGAGAGAATAAACGCTTTGTTAAAGCCATCCACTTGTGGTATTTCTGTTATAGCAGCACTAGATAACTAAGACAGATCCTAAACAGATTTTCAATCTATTGGCCGTATAGATGGTCAAAGTTAGGTAAAAGATACTCCCTGTGCATATTATAAA